TATCGCCTCTCCCTGTCCTCCCAGCTCATTTCGCTCCTCTGCTCCCCTGCTCCCTCTTACGCGGCTCTGCCATCTCGTGCGGTCCTCGCTCGCCCTCCCTCTCTCGCCGCGTCGCTGCCCCATGCGTGGATCCTCCCTCTCTCGTTCCCCTCCCCCTCCCCCGTCTCCCGCCTGGCTCCCGCGGTCCCTGCCACTAGCGTGGGTCCTCCCGGTTGCAGCCCATCTCTCCTTCCTCTTGGTCCCTGCCCAGCGTGGGGTCCTTCCCTCTACTACCCCTCTTCCCTCTCCCCCCGTCCTCGCCAGCGTGTCGCTCCCTCCTCTAACCCGCCCTGTTCCCCTATCTCCAGCCTCGCTCCTCGCCCCCGTCCTGCCCTAGCGTGGTCCTCCTGCCCCTCCTCTCTCTCACCCGGTCGTCTGCCCAGTCGTGGCTTCTCTCGCTCTCTTTACTCCCTCTCCTCACTGTCCTCCCCCGGTCCTGCCGCTGCTTGTGGTCTCCTCCTCTCCTCTCTCTCTCCTCTCTCTCCGGTTCCGCCCAGTCGTTGGTCTCCCCCTCTACGTCTCCCCTCCTCCCTCTCTCTCCCACGCGGTGCCTCCCAGCGTGGGTTCTCGCCTTTCCCTGCCCTCTCTCTCCGCCCTGGTCCCTGCCCAGCGTTGAGGTCCTCCATCCCCCTCCCTCTCCTCGCTCCTGTGTCCTGCCCAGCGTGGGATCCTCCCCTCCCTGCTGCCCGCCCCAGCGTGGGGTTCCCCTCTCTTCCCTCTTCCTCCCCCCGGTCGCGCGCAGTCGTGGGTCGCTCCATCATCGCCTCCTCACAGTCCTGCCCAAGCGTGGGTCCGCTCCCTCCCTCTCTCTCGCCGTCTCCTGCCCCCGGTCGCTGCCCAGCGTGGGTCCTCCCTCCCTCTCCTGCCCCATCAGTCCTGCCCAGCGTGGTCGCCGTCCAAATGCAAACCATGCCGCCACCTGTCTCCAGCCGTCCTGCCTCACCCACCCTCATCAGGTTTATTAGGACTTACCCGTCAGTATTAATGAATTCTCATCCCCGACATCCTCCCCAGCGCCACACCACCCCTTCTCTGCCCCACCTCAAACTACCCGCTGTATTAAACACGTCGCGTGTCACCCCCCATACGTTCCTTGACCATTCTGCCGTAACCCGCATGGATCCCTGCACCCTCCGGCATTCCTCTCTCCATGCCCACCCTCTCTGCCCCCAACCCTCTCCGGCCACCCTGCTCTGCCCACCCTCATTTCATCAACCCTCCTGCGCACGCGCCTTGTGCACATCGGAAGCAAGAGCGTCATACACGATCCTTCCTGGCCCCTGCCCCTCCTACCACACACTCCTTGTCCCGCACGCCCTCTGCCCCACCACCCCGACTCACCCATCTTGTCCCATCACTCCTTGTTGGCCCCATCCCCATCTGCCGCACCCTCCTGCCCCACCCCGACCACCCTCTTGTCCGCAACACTCTGCTGCCCCACCCCGACTCACCCTCCTGCCCCAGCCCCCGCATGCACCCGCTCATTGCCCGCATCCTTCCTCCCCACCGCTCGCACGCAATCACGTTCTCACCCCTCCATGCCCCACTCGTACTCCCTGCCCCATCCCTCCCCGCATCTACCCTCCATGCCCCCACCTCCTCACCGCCCCCCCGCCCCCCCCCCACTCACCTTGCGCACGTGGAACAGGGCGTCCGTACACATCCTCGCAAACTCCGGCAGAAACACCTTCTCCGTCACCTCCTGGCCGGCGACGGGAGCGAGGCGGCCAATCAGCTGCAAGCAGACCAACGGAGAGCGCGCGTGATTGGTTGGCGCGATCGGTGGATGCACGCAGGACGGACGCGCAAACAAGCAACGCGACGCGTGCAAATAAATAAAAAATAATTACGAAATAAGATAATAAACGATCGCGGGTTAACAGAAACAAAACGAGCGCACGATCCGAACTGCAAGTTGCGAGTGAATGACGCACTCGGCTGATCCGCTTGATCTGCGTAACCAAGATAAACAAATCAACGAGAACGCAGGCGCCATCACGACAACAACAAGTGAGCGTGCATCGCTGCCTAAACACTGCACATACGCGCTAACGAACGCACGCACGCACGCACGCACGGACAAACAAGGTGGCTGAGGGAGGTGGGTTACGTACAATCATGATGAGAAGCATGCAGACACGCACACGCACACGCACACGCACACGCGCACGCGCATATACACGCCATATACACCATATACACGCAATATACACGCAATAATACACGCCATGATACATCGCATAGTAAGGCGTCTGTTGCTGCATCCCGCCACTTGGGCATCAGGCATCAGTAGTACAGCAGCAGTAGGCAGTAGCAGTAGCAAGCACAGCAGCCAGTAGCAGGCAGCAGCAGCAGCCAGTAGCAGTAGCATCGCAGCAAGTCAGCAGCAGCAGCAGCAGTAGTCAGCAGCTAGCATAGCAGTAAGGCAGCAGTAGCAGCAGCAGCACAGCAGCAGCAGCAGTAAGGCTACAGCAGCATCCAGCACAAGTAGCAGGCACAGCAGCCAGTAAGCAGCAAGCAGTCAACGCAGCAGCAGCAGTAGCAGGCAGCAGTAGCAGCAGTCAAGTAGGCAGCAGCGCTAGCACAGCAAGCATGCAGCAGTAGCAGGCAGCAGCAGGTATTGGACATCCTCGCTGTGCAGGCTGCAGGCTAGCAGCAGCACGTAGCACAGCAATCAGGGCAGTAGCAGGCAGATAGTCAGCTGTACAGGCAGCAGCAGCAGCAGCAGCAGCAGCAGCAGCAGCACAAGTAGCACAGTAGCAGCAGCAGCAGTATTGGACATCCTACGCAGGCAGCAGCAGCAGAGCTAAGCAGCAGCAGGCAGTAAGGCAGCAGTAGCAGCTAGCATAGCAGCAGGCAGTAGCTAGCAGCAGTAGCAGCAAGCGAGCAAGCAGGCAGCAGTAGTAGTAGCAGCAGCAAGGCAGCAGTTAACTAGCAGTAGAAGCAGTAGCCAGTAGTAGCAGTAGCAACAGTAGCATAGCGTAGTAGTAGCAAGCAACAGTAGTATAGCAGCAGCAGTAGGCGTCACGCTACCGCCATCAATATCGAACGAAGACACCACACTAAACATCGAGTCACACAAGCATCGACAGATCAGGGTAAGCTACCCTAGCGCACATCCTAACTAACTACCTATGTGTAGATCTAAACGCTGCCACATCTCCTACAACTAACTATCCGATGTGTACACCTACCTGCTACCACCAATCTGCCTACACTAACTAATCCATGCTGTAGACCTACCCCCTGCACCGACAGTCCTCTACAATAAACTAGGCCCTGTGTAGCACCTACCCTGCTACGCAGCACGGAGAACAACGTGGACAGTGCCCATAGAACAACATGTGAACATTGCAAGGAGAACAACATGAACAGTGCACAGAGAACAACATGAACAGTGCCCATAGAACAACATGTGAACATTGCATGGAGAACAACATGTGAACATTGCATGGAGAACAACATATGAACAGTGCATGGAGAACAACACATGAACAGCGCGCGCTGGAATGTCGGGCGACAGGCGGCCTGTAGGTGTCGCTGGCGGCACGTTTGGCGAGGGTCTGCTTGTTCGGTGCGTTCCCGCGGCAACGCCGCCGAAATGGAAGTCACGCGTAATTAGTATCGTTAGATTCGCCGCGCGGCTCGCGTTTCCATGGCAACGACGCTGCCCGAGGGTTTTTTGGTGCGTCGTTGCCGGCGGCGACCAGACTCGACACTGCGATGCTGCGAGCTCGACGCGTCTGCTCGACTCGCGAAGTGATCGCGCTCAACATTAAAGTCTCATTGCGAGACCGACGCGAGCCGTCGGCCCGGCGACGCGCTGCCGGCGGAGGCTGCGCAGCGACGGATGAGGATGCTTGGACGCGAGCCATCGGCCCGGCGACGCGCTGCCGGCGGAGGCTGCGCAGCGACGGATGAGGATGCTTGGACGCGAGCCATCGGCCCGGCGACGCGCTGCCGGCGGAGGCTGCGCAGCGACGGATGAGGATGCTTGGACGCGAGCCATCGGCCCGGCGACGCGCTGCCGGCGGAGGCTGCGCAGCGACGGATGAGGATGCTT